AATGCTACGATTTTCATGCTCTTTCATTTATTTATTATATTCCGTCAAAAGTCTATAGACAAGTAGAAGCCTCCCTCTAGTAGAATTATGTACAGTAGTTGACTTTTAATAGACCGTAATGAATTAATGGATCATGAATATGAGATATTATTAATAATGGTGTGTGTAATTGATATGCCTAAGCTAAGCTACGGGCTATGTTCGGAGTTTCTCTGCGTAGTGAGCATATCAGCAGTAGTACTAAAGTACTCGTACATAGCCCAATGGATTAGTAAACTGAAGTGGAAATTGGCCGGTTATATAGCTCAAAAAACAGACAACCTACGAGGAAGTAAGATTCTCGAGTAGCAGCTCGTATCGTTAAGCGAAGAGTAGGATGACCACTCACAAGATGCAGATGCAAGATGTCGATGAATGCAGGGCGATCAGGAAAGGGCTTTTTTTACATTGTTTGAGGAGGCATATTTTCAGCAGTAGAGTTTTGTTATGCTATAATAAATGACTTAACGATAAATGTTAAATATTAATCACGTGTCACAGTGCGTCAGAACTCGAAATTCTATCCTCATTATCTCTATGTTTGGCGGTCTACTAATATGTGGCTTACACGGGATTTTCTGCCACAAGACTCAAGCAATAATGCCCCGCCCATCATAAGTCTATATACTTTACGTTTATAGTGAACCATTTAGATGATTAGGGGTCCACCACTGTGAGATTTTGTATTGCTTTTCTATATCTCACACCACTTGTTTGTGGAATCGGTTTCTATCAGTGACTTTTCCCGATCCAATTTATGGACTTCAAAGAAGAGAGTCTACTCCCCTCTATTAGGCCTACAATGCACTTGCAATTCTCAATTGTGTTGCAGATGTTCGTGGACGACGATGATTCTTACTAATAGGTGAGCCGTACGCCCAATTACCTCTTCTTCAAAAAAAAATCCGCAGTTGGGTGACTCAGGAGAAAATTGCTCAAAACGTACTACGCGAGCAAATGGAGTTCGGTTTTCTTTACTATAAATGGTAAACAAAATTGACTTTCAATCACGCCAAAATAAAATATAATAGGAAAAACGAAAATTTTCAATTTAACTTATTCAAAGAAAATAAGAGGTTTGTTCCCGGAATAACGGTTGGGTCTGATTGATTATCTGACTTTGTAGCTTAAAACATATTCATTTTATTTTTGCTTTACGGGAAATAATTTGTTTTGATCTTCGGCTGAACTGAAAATAAACAACTTTTTACTTATTTAAAGTTAAGCCATTTTTTAAACGTTACCCCACTCATGGATTCTCTCCCGTATCGTGGAGGCAGTTCGCATACGTAATTGCACAAGAACAAACATCCAGATCTAGTAAAAATATCTGTAATACAACATTAGATCTCTCAATAATCAGATAAAGGTAGTTGCCTTTATCAATTGGCACTTTCCTTGCCCTAGAAAAAGCTTTCGATACTGTTACCATTCCCATCCTGTAAAATAAGCTAGGGAGCATAGTTATTGGAGCTAAACAGCTTAAACTTTTTGCGAACTATTTAGAAAATTGATGTAAATATTTAAAATCGTTTAATAGATCATTAGCTCATAATAAATAACACTACTCTCAGAGGTAAAATAAAGAATTGACTTATTGACTGTCCATACTAATATTATAAATGCGAAAGTGTGTTTGTTTGTTTGTTTGTCCTTCTTTCACGTCGCAACAGAGCGTCGGCATGGCATGATTTTTTGTATGGGGATAGTTCGGTGGCTGTAGAGTGACATAGGTTACTTTTTTCAGCGTAAAACATATCATTCCCGTGGGAAAATCGAATATGTTGCAAAATTAAATTCAGCTAGGTGGCGCCACCGTGATTCTACAAGACGGATGACGGTACGATGGACGAACACAGAAGATCAGAATATCTGGATTATTATGTCTTTTTACCAAAATTAACATAAAAAATGTATGAATCTGTATTTTTCCGCGCAAGACCGGGAAGAGAGCAATAAAAAACATTCAAAAACATAAACAAAATTCACCAGCTGATTTTCTTCAAACGTTTTGGTGCATTGTAATTCACAGAATAGGCGATAACCTCGCAGACGATATTAAGTAATCCGTTGATGCTCTGCCTACCCCGCAAGGGTTACAGGTGTGATTATAAGTATGGATCAGAAATACTATCACCACCTGTCACGCTTTCACCCTTAACTATTACTTAACTGTGGTAGAAACAGTTCTTAGTAAGCCTTAATAATAAGCCTTAGTAATATTTATTGAACGGAAATGAATACAGTTATTATATGTGGTTATGAATGAATCGGTATTACAATAAGAAAAATTGTACAAAATTATAAGAAAAATATTTTTTGAGAGTTCCTATTAACTAACGTATACATAGTTTAAATTGATTCCGCTAGATGTCGTTACCAGGTTCTTAAAATGCGGTAACGAAATTTTTTTCGTTATTATTTCCTGACATGTACTTAACTCCCGCCGTTGAGCCGCGCGTCAACTTATAGTGCATACGGTACCTATACGCTTAAATTGTTTCTATTTCGTAGCTTATTCGAATACCTGCTTTCGATTTCGGTTGTTTGTTATTTGCTTTGTGATTTGGTTAAGGTTGAATGGATTTATATTGGCTTTCATTTTTGGATTTGTGTATTTTCTTGGATCGGTTTTGTTGATTTGGTTGGTATTCCTTTATACACATTTAGACTCTGGCTTTGATTTTGGATTTTGTTTATTTAGAATCGTGAATTGGTTTTCGTTGTTTTAGGTTGTTTAACAATATTTCAAAGGAATATTAATAGTATAGATAGTGTATACGGTACCTATACACTTACTTCTTTTTTTCGTTGGTTATATTTATATTGACTACTGCTTTCGATTTCGGTTTTCTGCGATTTGTTTTGTGATTTGGTTTAAGTTGATTCGATTTTGTTTGGCTATCGTTTTCGGATTCGTGTTGTGTCTTAAATTGGTTTTGTTGTTTTGATTTTAAAAAATATTTAAAAGGAATATTTATTTCCTTTTAGGTATTTTAACTTTTTTTATAAATAGGTTTTTTGTTACTTCATAATGCCTGCAGTAGTCCTTTCAAGAATTTCTTCTCAAAGACAAGCGAAAAGATTAGCTCGATCGCTAGAATCCCTAGAAGACCTTGAACTGAGAAGGCAAGAGCAAGCAGAGCGTCAGGCTGCTTTTAGAGCATCTGAGACACCTTCTCAACGTCAGCAAAGGCGTCTTGAACAGACAGAGCATCATTAGCTACTTTAAGAGCTACTGAAACACCTGCTCAAACTCAGCAAAGGCGTCTTGAACAGGTAGAGCGTCAAGCTATTTTAAGAGCTGCTGAAACACCCGATCAAAGTCAGCAAAGTCGTCTTGAATAGGCAGAGCGTCAATCTACTTTAAGAGCTACTGAAACACCTGCTCAAATTCAGCAAAGGCTATTCGAACATGCGGAACATCAGGCCGTCTTACGAGCCGCGGAAACACCTGATGAAACTCAACACAGACTCATTGAGCAAGCTGAACGTCAATCTACTATAAGGGCATCTGAAACACCAGAACAGACACAGGCGCGAAGAGATGCAAATGCATAGCTCCAAGCTGAAGGTTGACAAAATTTTTAAAGAAACAATTGGTCGGTTTTTAATGACGCAGCATTCAATTATGATCCGTTGATTGATTATAAAAATCACAGGTTAGTTGTTATCGGACTGACGGACAAGGCATGTCGATTTTGCAGCGCTTTAAAATGGAAAGATGAGACCGCAGGCATGTGCTGTTCCAATGGCAAAGTCTCTCTTCCGTTACTTGGGGAACCAGAAGAACCTTTGAAAACTCTAGTTTTATATGATGCTAATGAGTCACGGTGCTTTTTAAACAGGATCCGGAAATATAACTCATGCTTTCAAATGACGTCCTTCGGAGTTGACCGGGGTCCTTGGGGAGGCAAGGACTTCCAAAATGGAAGAAAGGCTCGATTTGGGGATACTTTAAACCACTTTGTCTCTTCCGCCCCCCGGACCTCATCACCTTTGACGAATGCAGCTTGTTTTTGGATTGTGCGCACGTGATGATACGTTGCAACGGGTAGCCGATACACACAAGTTTTATGATGCTCTGCAATACCCATTGATTTATTGCAAAGGACAAGAGGGTTATCATTTTCAAATTCCACTCATTAACCCGGTCACAAAGGACAAACTTACTCCGAACAAATAAGTATCATGTATGGATTTTTATGCGTATCATATGATGTTGCGAGAAAATGATTTTTACCTCTTAGCCCGGTGTAGACAATTATTTCATCATTTTTTAGTAGACATGTATGTGAAGGTAGTAAGTGAACGTCTCCGTTATATATCTTTAAATCAAAAAAGCTGCGCGTTGAGAATTATATACCTACATTTACAAGATGCAGTTTCTAGTTATGCCAATGTAAACCCCAGAGATTTAGGTAAAATGGTAATTCTGCCCTCATCATTCGTTAAGAGTCCCCGCTACCTACATACGTAACACACAAGACGCATTCGCCTATGTACGAATTTACGGAAGACCTGATCTTTTTGTTACTTTTACTTGCAATCCCACATGGAAAGAAATAACCGAGGAGCTAATGCCGGGCCAAAAAAGTACTGACAGACACGATTTAGTTGCTAGAGTATTTAGATTAAAAGTACAAAAATTAATGTATGTAATTAACAAAGGGAAAATTTTCGGAGAGGTGCAGTGTTCTATTCAATTTAATGGCAAAAAGAGGATTACCGTATGCCCACATTCTAATATGGCTTAAAGAAAAGTTGCGGCCCAGCCAAATAGAAGACATAATAAGCGCCGAGATTCCGGATCCTGAACAAGATAAAGAATTGTATGATACCATCGTCCGAAATATGGTTCACGGTCCATGATGGAGCACGAAATTCAATATTGCCATGTATGAAAGAAGGAAAATGTACAAAGAAATTCCCTAAATAGCTATTAAAAGAAACAGTGCACAATGACAATGGCTACCCTTTATACAGGACGCAGAGCTCACGAAGATGGTGTCAGGAAAGTTACAATCAAATCTCGCTCTGGAGCGTTCGAAACCCTAGATAACAGCTGGATTGTCCCGTATTCGCCCTTTCTATGTAAAATGTTTAATGCCCACATTATTGTAGAAGCATGTAATTCACAGAACTCTGTCCACGCAATCAAGTATATCTGTAAGTACATAAATAAAGGAAGCGACCAAGCAATATTTAATCTCAGGAGTGAAGGTGAGGCAAATCCCGTTAATGAAGTACAGACCTTTCAAGCAGGGCGTTATGTCAGCAGTAACGAGGCAACGTGACGTCTCCTTGGTTTTCCTTTACACGAAAGGCACCCAACAGTTCAAGGTGCGCCTGTTGCAAATTGGCCCGGTGTAAAGTCATCAGATGCCCTTGGTCTTGTGTATACCGTCCATGTAACTAATTTTGTATGTTTCTGTATACGATTGCCGCTGCACCATGTTCGGGGTCCTACAGGATATAAAGACCTTCAAACTGTCAACGGTCGGGAATGCGCAATTTATAGAGAAGCATGTGAAGCTCTGCATCTTTTAGAAAACGATAATCACTGTGATGAAACCATGGAGGAAGCTGTGCAGTGCCAGTCACCAGCCAAAATTAGGGATCTTTATGCAACTCTCATATCATCTTGCGGGCTATCTAATGCACATGAATTGTGGGACAAATATAAAGAGTACATGGCGGAAGATATTTTGCGAAGGTTACAGCAGACACACGCGAACATGACATACAATCAACACATTTATAATGAAGCACTTGGAAAAATTGAAGATAAAGTAATGGCAATGGTAGGCAAAAAATTAAGCGACTTTGGTACGATAAGCCCTCAGCGAACAACCGAAAATGAACCAAGTGATGAAATTATACGTGAAACAAACTACGATATACCAGCTTTGCAGCAGCAAGTAGCCGAATTTGTACCCCGCTTGCCTCCCGAATAAAAACGAGTTTTTGACGAAGTATTAGGACAAATTTAATCTGGAAATGGTGCACTTTTCTTTTTAGATGCCCCTGGAGGAACTGGGAAGACATTTTTGTTAAATTTATTATTAGCGCAAGTACGGAAAGATAAAAACCTTGCTGTGGCCGTAGCTTCCTCCGGTAAAGCCGTCACGCTGCTAAGCGGGCGCCGCACTGCACATTCTGTTTTAAAACACCCTCTAAATCTAGCCCAGGAAGAATCGCCTATCTGCAACTTTAGCAAAAATAGTGCACGAGTTATAATGCTACGACAATGCAAACTTTTAGTGTGGGACGAAAGTACAATGTCGCACAAAAAAGCTGTAGAAGCACTAAATCGAACGCTCCAGAATTTGCGCGGCAATACCGATGTAATGGGAGGAATGGTGGTTTTACTGGCTGGTGACTTTCGATAAACTTTACCCGATGAAATTAAAGCATGCCTCAAGTCTATTTTATGGAAGAAGGTGACAAAATTCAGTTTAACTACGAATATGAGAGTGCATTTGTATAATGATATCAATGCTGGAACCTCCGCTGACATACTATTAAAATTTGGCGATAGGCGGTTGGAAACGGATGCTGAGCGCTGCGTTAAATTGACGAGAGATTTTCGTAATTTCGTACGGAGTCATTCTGAATTAATTTCGAGAATTTATTCAGATTTAACAAACAACATGCATGAAGACAAATGGTTATGTGAAAGGGCGATTCTTGCACCAAAAAATGAGAGTGTTAACAAAATAAATTCAGATATATTAAGCGAAGTAGCAGGAGAAATAACAGAGTATTTGTCAGTAGATACAGTTATGGACACAGAACAGAGCACTTCATATCCCGCAGAGTTTCTAAATTTTCTAGTTGTCAGGTGTGCCCTCACATAAGCTTCAATTAAAATTAGGCGTCCCAGTCATGCTAATGCGAAATTTAGATGCTCCTCGGTTATGTAACGGGACAAGGCTGCATGTGACACATCTTTCACGCAACATAATCGATGCTACAATTTTGACAGGCGTAGAAAAAGCTGAAAATGTTATTATACCACGGATCCCTATAATTCCCACAGATCTTCCTTTTCAATTCAAAAGGTTGCAGTTCCCTATTAAGCTCGGTTTTGCAATGACAATTAATAAAGCGCAAGGGCAAACGTTATAGGTAGCGGGGGTCAACTTAGAAAAACCGTGCTTCTCTCATGGTCAGCTGTATGTAGCATGTTTGCGTGTGTCAAATGCCCAGAATCTCCACATTCTTTCCCCGAATGGAAAAACAGCGTATAGCGTGTTGCGAGTAGCGTCTTAAAATAGTGTTCAGTTAGTTTTTTTTTTTTCAAAATTCTTACAATCAATTAATCAGAATTCCCACAGATCTTCCCATTCAATTCAAAATTTCCTATTTAGCTCAGTTTCTTTTCAATTCCAAATGCTGCATCTCTGACGGACCTTTTAAGCTCAGTTTCTTTTCAACTGAAAAGGCTGCAACTCTGACGGATCTTTTATTTGGCTCAGTTTCCTTTCAATTCAGAAAACTGCATCTCTGACGAATCAATTTAGCTCAGTTTCTTTTCAAAAGTCTGCATCCCTGACGGAGGCTATTTTTTTAATTAACTGAGCTCAGTTTCCTTTAATTAAAAAAATATCCCATTTCCATTTGGAATAAACAGGTTATTTTCATGCTTTTCTATATATTGCGTTTTAATACATTTAAATAGGCTGAAGATCAATTTTGCTCAGTTTCCTTTTAATGGCTGCATCTCTGACAAATCTATAAAACTCAGTTTTCTTTCAATTAAAAAAGCAATGGACAGTTCATTTCCCAGCGACCATGCGGGCGAAGCCGCGGGTAACAGCTAGTTATTTATAATCTGTATTGAATAAACAGTTTCTGTTGTTTTACTCTTTTGGCGTGTCCCAAGATATTCTATTAAGACCACCCTTATTTTTGATTTATATCAATGATCTCTGTAATTTCGAACTTTGGTAATTGGTTTTTCTAGGCAGATGATCCTGCTCCTTTTTGGAAAATACAGGAAGTGAGGTTCATTTATGTACACAGCAATGTTTTGATAGAGTAAATAGGTGGCTACGACAAAATATATTAAAGTGAATAGGGATAAAACCAAATAACATTTTTCTATGTGCAGCATAACACAAACTAACTAAAATAATTCCAAAAATTTATGCACAACAATGTTGCTTATTTACAATGTCTAAATTTCATTTCATAGTTATTTTAAATACATAATATAAATATATTATGTTTATATTTGAATACATATATACACAATTATAGATTCTACATTTGAAAACTACATAGATCACCTATGCAATGAAGTTCGTGAACTATGTTTCTTTTAATATTTGTCTTCTTGCTGAAATTAAGGTAGTAAAGCAAAAATATTTCGAATAATATCAATGAATTCTCACCTAATATATCAAATCATATACTTAATATAAAATCTACGTTTTACACCAAAAATTGTGTCAGTATGTTATCAGGAAATAATCATCATCATCATCATTCATCTTCACAAGATCACTGCTGCACATAGTCCTCCCCCAAGGAATGTCACAAAGCACAGTCCTGAGCTACCTGTATCCATCTACTTCCTGCATGTCTTACCAGGTTGTCACTCCATCTAATGGGGGTTCCAATGGGAGTACGAGGGCGAGCTATATGGCCGGCCCATTACCACTTCAGCTTACTAATCCGTTGGGCTATGTCAGCCACTCTGATTGTTATGCGGATATCCTCATTTCTAAGTTTATCACACAGAGAAACCCCGAGCATAGCCCTCTTCGTGGCTCGTTGAGTGACCTTGAACGTCTTCATACGGCGAGCGATGCAAGACCACGTCTCAAATCCATAAGACGTCACTGCCAACACGCACTGGTTGTACAATCTCGTGTTCAGTGTTCACTCGTATTTTGAGGTATACCTGACGTAATTTCCCGAACGGTGCCCAGCCTAGTCGAATCCGTCATTTGACCTCTCAGTTGAAGTTGGACTTATTTAGTTGGACTAATTTCTCTCAGGTAAACATATTCGTCAACAACTTCGAGCTTAGTGATCCCAACAACTACCGGCATAGGTGTGACATGGACGTTACACATGATCTTTGTTTTGCTATGCGTTTGGAAACACTATTGAGATCATTGAGCATATTGCTTAGGTTCTGCAGCAATTCTGCCATAAGGACTATATCAGCATGCAACATGCAAGGCAGCGGTGAAGAGTTTCGGGAATAACGTCACCCTGTCTTACACCTCTCTGCAGTTTGATAGGTTTCGTACTCTGGTTCTATACTCGGATAGCCACCGTAGCCTTACTGTACAAACACTTCAGCATTTCGGTATACCGATAGTCAACTTAGCAAAGCTGAAGGTACTGCAGCACCGCCCAAATTTCGGCAGTATTATAGGCTTTCTCATAGTCTACATACGTAACGCAATGTAGTAGATTGTTCTCTTCGGTCTTCTATACAATTTGTCGAAGAATATGTATGTGGTCTATGGTGATAAAGCCTTTTAGGAAACCGATTGTTCGAGAGGCTGGAAGTCGTTGAGCCTGCGTACGAGACGATTCGTAATGACTCTCGAAAACAGCACGTAGACATGACTCAGAAAGAATATCGGTCTGTAGTTCTTCAAGAGAGCGTTGTTATCTTTCTGGTCCACGCCTTGGGAGTGGTGCCACCACGGAGAACGGAATTAAAGAGCTTCTGATGTACTTCAAATACCGGTTTTCCACCTGCTTTCAGAAGCTCCGCTGTAATTCCATCCTCACCGGAGCCTTGCCGTTTTTAGGGTGCTGGAGGGCCTTTCTAATCTCACTCAGACTGAAGTCTGGGATATCAGTCTCCAACTTAATACTTAGTTTCAGTGTGCTGCTAACCATTCGGTGATCGCTGCCAGTTTTCACCCTCGCGAACACTGAAACATCACTGAACAGGTTTTAATTAAGTCAATGCAATTTTTGTCAAACTATCGGGGCTCGAACAGGTCTACTTGCTGTGTGGCCGCTTCTGGAAGAAAGAGTTCATTGTGAAGAGCCCTCTTTCTCCATGATATTGGCCAATCGAAGACTCCTTTTGTTCCGTTGCCTTATTCCGATTTCCCTACCTTCAGCACGCACTCTTTTCTCTAGTGCCTATTTGCTAGTTTTGTTTGTTAGTATCTTGTTTCTGTTTACATTAAAATAACCAAGGAACCATTTTCTTTTGACAAAAATGATAAAATATATGGCCTTTGTATATCTTAAATCTAAATAACTCCTTACTAGTAGATCCAATCCAGTTGAACCCGGGACGGTAGCTAGTTTATTGAAAATTATTAATCGATATTAAAATAGAGCTATTTATATTAAAATAATATAAATAAATTGAAGTATAATATAATGTGTCCAAAAACTGTCGGTTCTAACGGGAAAGGACCACGCTCTCTCATAATACCATTTCTACCGGATATCCTTTTTACTGGAAACGATACTTTCATTTTGGACCTCAGGGGTAATAACGCACCCTAATTTTAATTATATATCGAGAATTTGGATCTTTTTCACGTGGTCGAGCCACGCTACAGCTATATTATAATTGTAGCACGAATGGGTTGGCTCGATCGGGACAGGACCACGCTCTCACAGAATACCAGCGTAAAATAGCAACGTAATACTGCTGTGTTTCGTATGGTGAGTGTAGAAAACCGGATACCCTTTTTCTGGAATCGAGGCATTCCATCCTAGTCCTCAGGGGTGACAACGCATTTGCATTTTGATCCTTAGTTGAGGATAAATGTGGATCTCTGTGAGCCACAGCATCCACTTCCATCTGGTGGACTGTGTGCTCGTTTGTCACCTTTATTCTATAAAAAATAAAAAATGTTTTTACTTATAAAATACTAGTTATTGCTATTTCATGAATAAATGCGAAAACTGTGTACTAAAGATTTTACTGAACGTTATTTCCGTCCTTAAAAAAATCTAAGTT